GGGGGGGGATAGTTACTTAAATTAAAAACAAACAACTATGCACTATGCAGACCTTTGCAATTTTTTTAACTGTGGAAAAAATATAGAAATAAAGTAAAAAGTTATAGTGAGTATTTGTAAAAGAAATGAAAGGAAAACAGCTCAAACTATTGTTTTTTTTTTTTAAAACAACCAATAAAATTCAGTTTTGTGTTCGTTTTGGTCGAAACTTGAAAGAGCCGCCACAGATTGCAGACCCCTGTGCTTGTGTTCTGCAGTCTATACATATAAATCACTTACATGTTTGTTAAATGTGTGCTGCATTCATTCAAAAAATTAAAACACAAACAAGTTAAAGCTATTAAAAGTCGCAGTATTACTCAGGTAATTGTTTATTCTGGTTAATCAGAGTCAGTCAGAGCAGCTCCAGCAGGAGGGGCTGCTGGTTCAGCTCAGCATCCTCCAGTCCCCGCCTGCTTCTCTCTGCCCGCCTTCACTTCACATCTCTCTCACCTGCACTGCCTCTCCTCCAACAGCATCTCCCCCACTTCCCTCCAGCTTCCTGAGGCTTTCGCAGTTCAGAGAGTTCTGTCCGCTCAAAGAGTGTCTCGACGCGTTCAAAGATGCTGGCTTGTACAGAGATGATCACCATGTGCCTGCAGTCAGCCAAGCAGAAGCATCTCCAGGCTCAGCAGCAGCAGCAGACGCTGCACGGCCCCAGGCAGGGGCTCAACATCTTTCATGATGTGAGTAGAACTGTTTTCTCACTCATTGTCAAAAGTGGTAGTTGTTGCACAATTTATTACTCATCTGAGAATACTGACTGCAAGACAGAAAAACTGAGCAGAAGTCACTCACAATGTGCAGTTTCATGACTAGTCTACTGGTATTCATTTTTTTTTTTAATGTTGATCCTTGTTATTGTCTTTATTTTGCCTGAGTGTGTGTAGTGGGGGGGGGGGGGCTGCAGCTGCAGTCCCTGCATGATAAATTAAGCTCTCAGTCGGACACGTTCAAGGGCTGTTGGGGGGGCTTCTTCTTTTTTGGCACTCTCACTTCTGCTGCCTCTAAATCTGTACCCAATAACACATTCAACCACAACAAGTTTATTAATAAACTACTTTGATATCTGTTTTTATTATTAAAGCTAACAGACATTTTAGCCACTGATTATTCTCTGAAAAAAAAGTTCTGAATTATTTATTTTCCTGTCATTAAACTACACACACACACACCAGCCCCAAATGATGCTTTTAAACAAATAACAGCCCGATTAACCTGCGTTGCTGCCATAGAAACCGTCCATCTTGTCGAAGGGTTGCAGACCAGTGATGTTTCCAGGTCTGAGCTCTCACCAGCTGACAGTTTAGCGTCTCATCTGTCACTTAGACCTGACGGCTTCTAAAAATGGACAATACTTTTGCAGACGCGTCAGTCCCTGTGAACAGGCTAGGTGACATCAAGTTCTCAGTTTAAAGGTTTTCTGCTGATGGATCAGAAACAGGCTCTGTTTAATGTATCCTTGCTCAATGCACTGTGATTGTCGAAAAACAGCTTGTGGTGGAGATAATAGAATCTAAATGTCCTTTTTTTGTGTGTGAAATAAGAAACTTTCTCAGTTTATCTACTCTTTTTCACCTTATTTATTCTTACCTTTTTATTTGTATCATCCAGTGTTCTTTGGTGAGGGAGAACAATGTGCCTATAGATATGTTTCTGCTTGCAGGAAGCCCAATTATTTCACTGGGACAGCTGGTAGATTTTGATTTGGTCTTTAAAGCAGATTGTGCTGTTGCAGAATTTGTATCAGGCCCCACATAGTGAAACAGACAGAAGAAAGTCCGCTGGTTGTGCCCTAAAATAAATTGGTTCATATGGGTTTAGAGTAAAAAATGTACAGGATTTCAGTGATGGTGAATTATTATAAGGTAATGGTTATAAGTACATCTGTTTACATACTTCAGAGTTGTTTCAACCACAAGACATCCCTTTATTAAATGAAATGGGAAGCTATTTCAATCACCACTTTGTTTCTTTGTATGCAAAAAACATAGCAGGCCCAAATTACTGGGCGATTAGTGCATCAGCAGGTCTATAGTGAGTCCTAATTACACTCTAATGAGCTATCACTAATGTCAGAAGGGTAAAGATTATAACAACTCAGATCATGCAATGCCTCAAAATGCCCTGCTTGAAGGCCGAGAACAATAATAGATTAGATTATAGTTTCCTATAATCGTTTATTAATTGTGTTTATTTTATACACCTTCAGATTGTGAGGTTTTGTAAAGTACCAATCTAATTTTTGTTGTTTCCCCCTATTTGTCTCTCACATTCCCCTCCTTGTGTTCATGTTTCCTGGAAAAAGGGAAAATATAAAATTTTGTGATTCTCAGAGATTTATTGGGAATATAGTGTTCGTAGAAACCTCATCACAATCTGACATTTCACTCCGATTTCCTCACCTTCGAAGCCCCGTACGAAGTCAGCAGAGCCTGAGAGAAGCCACGGTCTTAATTCCTTCCACCGTGACATCAGAGCAGCATCACTCTGGGAAGCAGATCTGACCTTTTCTGGGCTTGCTGTAAATGATGCATTATCGTCTCCTGTCACCAGAGAGCCCAAAGACACAGCCAAACTACTAACAATTTTAAAGCCACCTGTTCTCCATTTAATTGAGGGATGGAGGTAGGTGAGATGGGTTACACTGCCAAAAAGACAAGAACGATCTACTGGCAGACATTAGGTTATAACAAATGGGCTGATGACGGGACCTAATGACCTATATAGGACAGGGCTATTCAACTGGTGGCCCACGGGCCATTTTCGGCCCGCGGGTGACTTCAATTCGGCCCACCAATGACTTCATAAAAAAAAAAAAAAAAAATTGTATTTATTTATTTATTTTTTATTTATTTATTTATTTATTTTTTGTTTGTTTTGTTTCTGGGTTTGGGTTCCGTTTATTGCATGTATGATTCAATGCAATAAAACAAACAAAATTTAAAAAAGGTAACAGATCATTGTAAAACTTGGTTTATTTACATAATTACTCATTTCCTTTAATTAATTGTTAAAATTGAATAGTTTTCATTTGATACTATTTCTATCTTAAATTGTGATTCTTGACCTGCCATTGTGTATCTGTTCCTACCAAAACCAGCCAGTCAAAGCAGATGGCTGCTTGTCCTGAGCCTGGTTCTGCTAAAAGGTTTCTTCCTCATGAGGGAGTGTTTCCTTTCCACCGTCGCCTTCGTGCTTGCTCAAGATGAGTCTGCGATGGAGTTAAATGCAAAGCGGTGTGTTCCTCAGATAAATAGCGTTAAATTAGTATTTTTATATATGAATGTTTCTGTTCAGTTCCCTGAGATGACTTCTGTTGTGACTTGGCGCTTTATAAAAAAACTGAATTGAATTGAAATAATGACTTTAATCGCTGGATGTCCATCCCCTGAGCTGCTGGCTTTCAGAAACTGCCCCCCTGAGCAGTTTTGTTGAATAGCCCTGTTATACGATACCTTTTAAAAAGTATAAAATGAATTTCAGAATTGTGTATTAATCAAAGAGGAATGACTACGGCCCACTATCATACGTTAAACATCAACATTAACTCATTTACTCATCAGTCATGTTTGAGTTTAAACTGATGAGTCAGAAGCAAAAGTTGTGTTGTGATGAGGTTTCAAATGTCCTGGCTCTTGTTATAAGTCAGGTTTGAAGTAACAGAAAGGCAGAACTTAACAGACAGCAGAAGTGCAGACCTTGAGCTCGTTGGCCTATGGAGATGGAAGGTAAGGGTCAGACTCTGCAGTCATTAGTAACCTGCATGGCAGCTTGGACAAACATGCCAAGTGTGACGCTGCCTAACAAAACTGAGGGAGGAAAACAGGATCAATGGCAACGCACGTGTCAGATTCACTGTGTTGTCAAGTCAAATGTTAAACCTCTGGAAAACACAGTTATGCATGTTTATCTCAGGCTAATTGGGGCACGAAATCAATGGTGCAGAACAAATGTGAGAATGCGCCGAGGGAAGATGAAGGATTGAATACTGCCGAACCAAAACGAAACGCAGGTGGAATGAATAAGAAACTGGAAGCAGCTGAGGTGTGTCTGACACGTCGCAGAGCACAAAGGAAGTAGACGGTGGGTGTTTCTAGTAAAATGAAACAAATGAAATACATTTCTAAGACCAGAAAGTAGGCAACAGTTCTTCTCAAGGCTTTAGCAGCTGCCCAACACTGATTATTTGTTCAGTCCTGAGCCATATTGTAGATTTTTTTCAACCAATAAACTGCTTTCAAGGTGTCGGTGACTCATCCATGCTGTAGATAGTCTGTTGAGTTATGCTGATATGTGTCTGGCAAGTTCATTGTCTTCAGTCTTTAAAAAGCCTCAATGATTCAGCCGCTGCTATTTGTGACTGTGAATGTTTAAATATATTATAAAATGAGATTTAACAATGTTTTTGTTTACATGCCTCGCTGTCCTCTAACTATGGAGCTCATTGTAATTTTAAATAATACTTTATTTTGATTATATTATATGCATAAATTGGTTGTAGGCTACTCCCATTCTGCTTTTGGAAACTCTAGGAACCGCGAGTAAGCCTGCAGTCTGCGAGTGAATTGCTTTGTTGGGGAAATATGGAACGATCTCGAATATGAGATGGAGCTAGGTTGTTGAGGACTTTGTAGGTTAGAATAAGAGTTTGAATTAAATAATTTTTCTTCAATTTTGACTTAAATTCCCTCCAATAAAGCTATCATATTTGTTCTCGTACACAATACTTAATTACTTGCAAAACCTTCAAAACAAAAGGAAGCTTCTATCTGATGTGGATGCAGCTGCCTCATTTTGGAGCAGAAAAAGCTATTCAAGCTTAAAACTGGTGAATTGATTTTGAAGACAACAAGTTGCTTTTAGTAAGAAGACATAGTCAGACAATCCTTGTAAAGCAGCTGTGTGTTCCAAGAAGAAACTGAAATTAAAAATTTCAATAAGATATAAAATGCAATGCCCATAATGTGAGTAAGATATAAACATTATCCTAATTGAATTATTGTTTAGTGTGATCTACTTTAAGGGATCAGAAAATTCAAGTTTATGTGGTGGTGTTTTATAGTTCAAATCCATTACAGAATAATTTGAGCATGTAAACATAATTTTTCAGTATGTTTTCAATGACTCTGGAAAATATTTGTGCATATGGCCAAAACAAGAACTTATCCCATGCATTTAAATCACTGTCACTGGGTTAAATCAAATTGATAAAAATACAGTAAACACTTTAATATTGGGGTTCAATAATTCTTGTAGATGTGTGTTCATTCACACTCCATCTGGCCCTGCAACTCTAAATAAAACCCCATAACTAATTAGCCTAAGGGTGGCATTTTGACACCTTTTGTAGTGTTTAGGCAGCCATACTGTGGCCAATAAATTAACTGTCTTCAATTTTTTAATGCCAAAACAAAGATAGAAGTCACATTTATTGGCACGATCATGCAACAAACTGACTTGCCTGCACAGAAACAAAAAGCCTGATGTGTAAAAGAAGCAAAACACTGATCTCTTTGAAACAACTTCATGTTTTAAGTGCCTACAAATGGTACACTTATTTAAATTCCTTACTCTTAAATCCATGTGTAAAATCCAGACTGAACGTATTAGAAATAGCACTGATCCATTCTCTGTTCGGCATGGCTGAGTCGTTTATTGTTATTTGAGGAGGTCAGTTTGTTAAAATGGTTATTTGTCTTAATGTCTGAAAGACCTTCTTCTGTAATGAAAGTGCACTGACCCGAAGGTTTTATACATTTTGCTAATTAAAAGCTTTGCACCATTTGGAGCTCAGAGACCAACTCAAATGCAGTAAACAGTCTTTCACAGTCTGTATTCTTTGCAACTTTGTTTTGAACACGAGCTAACCTGAAGATGTGTATAGCTTGGAAAAAAAAAAGCTCTAAATGTGTCAGGTAACAGTGGGATCTGTCTAGTAAAGTTTATAGTTTAGTGACAGAACAGCAGCTCACAGCAAGGTCATTCCCAATAAAGGTTTTATTTAAAGCAGACAATTTGTTATATCACAGCAGAAAAAAAAAACTGATGTGATTAGTAGAACCTTAATAGCTTCATTGAATTTGTTTGGAACGACTGATGAGACAATGGGCATGCCTGGCTCCAGAGCTATCATTCAACCATGTGCTTAAATAAAAATTGTCTTTGGAACCGCATGAGGGGTGGGTGTGGAGTTTGCATTTACAGTTCAGTCAGAGCCCCCTGCCAGAGGAGCCAGTTAGCTGCAACACAAGCAGATAGCAGTGCTGCAGGGGCTACTGGAGTCCCCATCACTTGTTCCCGTGGCAACAAACACTCTGTCATATTAAATCTTTAATATAGTGTGAACAACTATGCAAACACAACATAAAATGTTTCCACTAAATAAACTACACTGGCACACATTTTAAAGCTGTATTATACTGCATCTACGGTCTCAACACAAATTAAACTGCAAGTGAGAACATCTCAAATCAGCTGCTTGAATTAATTCAGTTCAGTTTATTCATAGCGCCAAGTCACAACAGAAGTCATCTCAGGACACTGAACAGAAGTATTCATATAATGTACATAAAAAGCAAGTTAATAACATTTATCTGAGGAGAAGACTGCTTTGAGTTTAACTTCCTCACAGAACTCTCATCTTGAGCAAGCATGAAGGTGACAGTGGAAAGGAAAAACTCATGAGGAAGAAACCTTTAGCAGAACCAGGTTCAGGACATGTGGCCATCTTTTTCATTCATTCAACCTTTACTTATACAGGTTAGACTTACTGAGCCTCAGGGACTCATTTACATGAGACCTGATTTTTTTCAAAGAGTGATGACAACAGTGGATAACAACGACAACAACAGATAGTCATAAAAGAAGCATACAAATTATTATTATTTATTTTACAAATTAAAATAAAATGGCAACCAAAAGGACAGTCAAAAGGGAAAAGTAGCAAAAAAAAAATCCAGCTAGATTATAAGGCGGTGTAGAAAAATCTGCTTTGGCCACTGGGTTTGAGGGGAACAGGAAGTAATAACAGATACACAATGGCAGGTTGAGAATCACATGTTAAGATAGAAATAATATCAAATGAAAACTATTCAATTGTAACAATTAATTTTAAAAAATGAAGTCAGTTTTTCCTCCAGTAGTCTAAGCCTATGCTAGCTATAGGATTTATCATAAAGGAAAGTCTTAAACCCAGTCTTAAAACTGAACAGTAGCTATGTTTACATGTACATAAGTAGATTAAACAGCCATTCAGAATAAAAATGTATCGTGTAAACGCCCCATTCGGATTTTTCTGAGCTGATTCAGCTCGATCCGAATGAATTTGTAATCAGAATGAAACTGGTGGTTTATACCGATTCATAATCCGAACTGTGTGCATGTAAACACTTAATCTGATCATTTGATTCCGATTGTGGAAAACTGACCTGACTGCACATGTGCGACCCATCAACCTCAGGTGTTTCCGCCTGGATAGATGCTAATATGTCAGGGAAGCAAAACAGGTCGGTGAGTGACAACATTTCTACTAGAAACTTTGAAATAGCTCAAAATGATCTGTATTACATGGAGCTCAGTCAGGGAGTGCAGTAACGTCTCCACCGTTATTAAAACCTGTCGCGGGCCCAATTTGGGCGCTCATGTTTGTTTACGTTCATCCCCGAAGTAGAACTTCTTCTTTGGTGGTTTTGTAAAGGAGGGTTTACCACTCTGCGCATGTCAGTACTTCAGAATAAAAGCCCGCTGCATGTAAATGCTCGTTGTGAACGGATTGTACCCATGTAAACAGTACATTCAAATAATCTGAAAACATTTCAATCTGATCAAAGAATTGTGCGCATGTAAATATAACTATATGGGGAGTGGTGGCGCAGAGGTTAGAGAGGTGGGCTTGTGATCCAAAGATCGCCGGTTCATGCCCCGGCCCCGACAACATCAAAATTGTGGGTGGGGTAGGTGAAACACCCACACTTGCCCCCACCCTCATTCGCCCCACTCTGGGCCCATGAGCAAGGCCCTTAACCCCCACCATGTGCTCCCTAAACAGGTCTCTCTTGAAAATGAGTTCGCGTGGCTCAATGAGACTAACCTGTATAAATAAAGGCTAAATGAAAAAAAAAAAAAAAATATATAGTTATGTCAGCCCTACGGACAGAAACTGGAAGTTGGTTCCACAAGGGATGAGCCTGATAACTTAAAGATCTTCCTATTCTGCTTTTAGACACCCTAGGAAACACAAGTAAGCCTGCAGTCTGAGAGCAAAGTGCTCTGTTAGAAAAAATATGGAACAGTAAGAGCTCAAATATAAGATGGAACTATAAGTTGTCGAGAGCTTTGTAGATTATAAGTAAGATTTTGAATTTAATTCTGGATTTGACAGGGAACCATTGGAGAGAAGATGATCTCTCTTACAAACTCTCATTAAAACTCTGGCTGCAGCATTCAGGATCAACTGAAGGTTTATGTTGGTAAAATATTAGTTGTTTTTTTTTTGTTTTTGTTGACAGAAACACCTGCAGGATAACGGAAATTTTATTCCTTTGATGCAATTTATCCTTGTGCTGATTTTGTATTGACTGTTTACATCAAAAGTTATACTTGTTTAGGTTTTTTTTTAAATCATCTGGAATCTGTTCATTATTGTCACATTTCTTATAGGGCACCTTATGACCATTCTGACATATCAGTAACATGTCACAGCTCAGTTTGTACCTGCTTGTTCCAAGATTTATTTTTATTAAGTAAAACGGTCTCCTCCTCTTTTTCTTCTTGCAGATTTTTCGCAGAGCAGACAAAAATGGTGAGTGAAAATGTTTGCAGATCGTTAAATTGTCACAATATTAGTTGTTGTTCCTCCACATTCTCCACTTGTTAAAGAGCCTGAATATGTGTGTGTGTGTGTGTGTGTGTGGGGGGGGGGGGGGGGGAGGCTAGCAATTTGCATGAAAGGCACTTCCAGTGAAACTCCCTTGCCTTCCATACTTAAAATGTATTTTAGTCTAATTAAAATAAAGTTGATATTCTGGATAAGAGCCAAGACTGGAACAACCTGTCACACAAATAAAAAAAAAATAAAAAAAACTCCCTACAGAGTAAATAACCAATTAATGCAAGGCAGTAGCACAAGCAAAGCAGCAGTTATGTTTTGTCTTGCAAGAATTTTATTTCTTAATGGCAAAAAGAAAAAAAAAATATATATATATATAATGTTATTCACAGTTATTTTTGTATACACATCTTTTTGTTGAACTTCAGAACAGAAAACAGTAAAAAAACCTCTAGACACCATGTTTGACTTGTCAAATCTATATGGCTACATAAAAGCAGAAATTACAATGATGTCAAAATATGTTGCCGTTGTTAGTAAAAGTTACTCTTAATATTTTCAATATCATACTTTTACTTTGATTACACAAAACAGCCGTTTTTAGCTAAGTCTACTACAAATTTGGGGAGTGGTGGCGCAGAGGTTGGAGAGGTGGGCCTGTGATCAGAAGATCGCCGGTTCACGCCCCGGCCCTGACAATATAAAAAAAAAATAATAATAATTCAAAACTATGTTGTACAGTTTGCTGCCATCTCTGAACCTGGTGGATTATTCATGAGCAACATGACATTAATGAAGTCGTGAAAAGGCTTTCACTGCAGCTTTTAGAAGGTATTAATCACACAAAACTGAAGCATACCAAGGTTTCGTTATGGGTGCCCATTTGTCTCAGTAATCCGGGGAAATCTTTCACCGCTTTGCATCATGTCGTTGATGTTAAATGCATTGAGGGAAGTCCCCCCCCCCCCCCCTTTTTTTAATCTGAAATACAATGCCTCTTTTTATTTTATTTTACAAGTTGTTTATTGAGAGATAAGCTCATCAAGAAGGCCAGCTCTGTGCTTGAATGCCCCATTGACCCAGTGCAGGTGGTGGGAAACAGAAGGACTCCAGCTAAAAAAACATCATTGTTGGACAACGTCTCCCACTCCATGCATGAAGTTGTTGCTGAATTGGAGCTCGTTCAGTGACAGATTACTGTATCCTAAATGCACAAAGGAGCGTTACCACAGGTCCTTAATCCCAGCGGCTGTTTGACTCTATAACCATCACTGCACCCAACAAAATCAATAAGTATTAAATACTTGCTGAAGTTTGCACAATCACCCATTCTACCTATAAACTGTACTGTCAATAGTCTGTCCTTCTTCTTGGTGGTTTTTCCTCCTTTAACAAGTGGGGCGC